ACACCTTTCCACTTCATGCCTTTCTACTGCTAATACTAATGAAAAACTCCTGTGAAATGCCTTTCTGCTGTCATTTCAAAGGAAACGGTTTCCTAAATGGGAAGTTCACTCAATGAGAAAATTCAGTCTGCAATTTTTCTGAGTAATAGTGATTTTTGTATTGGTGTTATCTGTCTCTTGTTAATCAAGGCTAGAAGTAGCCATTTTTCTTACTATTTCTTTTTACTATCCAGTCAAGATAAGTCAAAACTTAGGGAGAATAGGCAAAGACATTTTTCAGAAAAAGTCCAATTCCTTTTCCCTACTATATCCTTTGTTATTGGACAATGTAAAAGTGTTTTGAGTATTTCCACTCCATGAGAGTATTTTGATACTTCCATACTTATTAATATTAATTTTGCATAAGAACAATCAAAACGCAGGGGTTTTTTTAATCAAATAATCCATTTCACTTAAGTTGCACAATAAATGACGTTTGCAGAAGCTGAAGCAGTTCCTTGTGGAAGACAGGACTGTGACTGATTCAGGCACCAGAGCAGCTCACAAAAAAATGAAAGAAATACTGAGCTGATCTAAGAACAAAAAAGATTTCTAAAAAATTTATCTCTTTCCTACTGATTTTGTGGAAATCATATACTTTTCTGAAAATAGATTCTGATGAGAAATCCCCAGCCAGTTGCAATATGCACAGTTTGGACATGGGTGTTCTCTTTTTATTAGCATTTGCTAATTGCCAATCTCTTCACATAGAAAAGTCATTTTTGGTTTTGAGCTGCTGAGCAATGACACCCACTCTCTTAGAAATGTCTTAGGGCACTCTGGAGCAGAGGTGAATTGCAGATGTGATTTATATTGACATGTTTGCAATAGTGTGGTGTCTTCCAGTAAAGTAAGGAACTCGTATGAAGAATGCACGCCTCAGTCATGACCGTGCCCTAGCACACATGAGTTCACAGGGTGCTTGGCTCACGTATAGCTCACCTGTCCTGGCAGAGGTGTCCATCCGAGAAGAGCGCTGATGGTGCACACTCCAAATTTAATAAGGGCACGCTGCACCCACCTAAAGTTCAGATGGCTGGGGCAACGCGTGTAGCAAAACAGTGAAGAGAGCAGAAGAGAGGTTCATCCCCCTGCACACCCAGAGCTGTGGGTGCACCACGTCAGGTCAGAGATCACATCTGACTTCGATCCATGCCAAGGGGCAGCGTAGTTATAAGGAACTGATTTAATCCCTCTAATAGGTTCACTTATGCTGTCTCAGAGCCCAAGCGCTCATGATCTGTATACCCTTAAAAAACCTGGAGATAATGAATAGGTTTCTTCACTTTATCCCTGCTTTAGAGTTTGAACTCCCATAGTTTGGCCCACTGGCTAATGAGGAGTGATGCACTGAAAACCATCAGAGTTCTCCCACAAGGGAATTAGAAGCAGAAAGATAAACTCACCAAATGATCGAATGTACAAATCACTCTGTATACTCCCAGAGCTGTGCAATGTGTATAATGAATTATTACCCTAAAAATCACAACTAGTCCTCACTTAAATGAAGAGCTTGGTCCTGTAAATTACATATACTACTTCTCGTATTATTTTCTGAACAACCAGAAATGCTGTGTTCTATACACTAGAACACAAAACAGAGTAAAACACAAGATCTAATCACTGTGTGACCACTGTTTATTTCCCCAAACTAGGCATAAGCTGAGATGAAGTTCCTCCCATGTAATGTCACTCACCTGTGCAGTCTTGAAATAAGAGTGGTGAGATAGAGTAGTTGTTTGGGTTAACGAGATGCGTGAATACTGTACCTTGGTTATAATAAGAGTGCTTGGCATTTCTCTAAAATATATGGACAGAGATAACTAAAAGAAATAGGACCCAACAGCAGAGAGAGAGAATTCCAGGCCTGAACCCCTTCTCATTCCTTTTAGGAAAATTCTTGGGTGGGGGGTCCTTCCTGGAGACTGCTGGGACTCAGTTAAAATCCATTATGCCAACCTTTCCACCTGCTCGGAAGCTGCAGAAAGGATTGCAAGAGTCAGTGGACACAGCTAGCCCCTATCAACAGAGAAGGGATTGCCCTAGGAGCACAGCAAGTTTATTCTTTGTCACTGGACTTGGCAGGTATTTTCGATTAGATAAAACAAGCAAACAGAAATGCACAGAGGAGGTTTTTGGGCACGCGTAAATGTGTAAATTCAGACTCACAAAAAAAATTATATTATTTAATGAAGATGTCTTTTCCCTCTGAAGGACTCTGTCCTACTAGGAAAGTGTGTGTACAGGCAGGGTCATGCCCTCTTTGTCACCCATGAATAACAAATCTCTTCTATGCCTAGAAAGCCACCTCAGGGGACAGCCTCATAGTGAGGGTATTCCTCATAGGAAGCAGCAGGAAATAAAGCTAGACTGTCATTTTTAGATCAGTTTCTAATGAGTGTGTCAGTGCTTAAAAGGACTGTACAACTGTCTGCTGGCTCAAGTGCGAAAGGAAAGTGTTAGCCACACTCTATTTTTGAGAAGAGGAACGTGGTATTGCCCTCTTTCCTGGGGGATCCAGGTAGATGGACACTTCCACATGACCTTCAGAAGATACCTGAGTGATGGGATTCATCTCTCAAAACTTCACTATTGCCCGGGACTTCTGCATGCAACTCTTAAATCTCCTGCACTGACTCAGGAGCCTGAGCATTTCATACTTGGAACAAAGTGTCAAAAAGTCACATTTTTGGAGGCCTGCAAGGTATTTGCATTTTTATCATTCAGTCCCATCCTGAGGTTTGGTTCTGCATCTGAAGAAAAAAGCAAAAATTGTTGTTCTTAATACTCTTCCCACAGCCTTCCTCCTACGTCTGGTACCTCCCCGTGGGCTGCCCGGTCCTCTCCACCCCGAGTCAGCACAGGTCCTCCAGCCCGTTCCAAGCATCGCAGCACCAACTTGCTGAGTGGGATGTTTCAGGCAAACACTGTCTCTTTCTTATAAAGTGAAGAGATCTGAATACCTAACATGCGTATCCATCAATTTTTGGCCAAGTCTGAAATGCTGCTGCCAGCTTCCAGCTGTGACTTTTGGCTTGCTTTAACTCCCCATATCCACCCCTACCATTGAAAATTAATTTAATACAAGAAGGACTAGTGTCAGGCCTTTGGTGTTGTGTTGTCTTTTTGCACAGACGGTGAAGCTAATTGTCTCAAGTCTTCACTACCCACACTTGACAACGCCAACTTTCTGGGGAGTTTCAGTTTCTCCTCTTACTGAGGTTAATGGCGTGGAGACTGTGAGAGTATTTTGCAATATTTTTATGCAGCTTCTCCATGGTTTTAGTTTCCCATGATTTTTTAGATTAATGGTTGGGGGGAGAGAGAAGGTGTTGTTTGCTATTTTTCTTACTTCTATAAGGTCTTGTCTTGGTCTCGGAGAATGGGAAATGGGGAATATTTGCACCTCATTGTCTGACCTGGAGTTAAACATTAGAGCTATGCCTTTTAGGCCAAAACTTAGAGTCAAAGAAGATTGGGCCCCCATCAGTGTGTAGAAACTGCCACAAATAAATTCAAGTATTAACCGAGAAAACCATGTAAAGGTAGAAATTGTGTCCTGTTCAAAATAAACTGGAATTTTGTCATTTTTCATACACTTGTACTCAAGAAATGGTTGGGGATCTCTTAGGAAAAAAAAAAAAAACAGAAATACTGGGCTTGGAGTCTGAATGAGCTTGAAGGAATATAATCTGAATGTCAGTAAAATCAATGGAAAGACTCACAAAGACTCCCAAAGGGCTACAGATCAGGCCTATGAGATCGCCAATGCAATGGGACTGTTAAAAGCAGCAATTTCACAGCATTGAAATCCAAAATCCAAATTAAGAAAAAAGTTTTAGAAGTTTCTTCTTAAATAACCTATAATTCCCTCAAGGTAATCCAGTGGTAAAACTCCTCAAGGGATGTAGTTAAGCCAAATGAATCACATTTGAAACTCCTTGGCTGTACTGCAAAATATTTTTAATGGCTTTATTGATGCTTTTAGATGAAATGCTCCTCACAGTGATTTGCATGGAATGTTTACAGACTTGTGTATTACTCTGTTACCAGATAATTCACAATATCCTCACTTAAACAAGCAGACACAAAATAGTCAAACTTGACAAGTCAAAGAAAAGAAGCGCTGGCAGGTATGGAAAACACTGAACAGTGGGTGGGGATACAATATTTTCTAAATAAAATGCCATGAATATCAGAGTATAGCACACAATTTAATAGCAAATTCTTCATATTGCGCATTAAGCTGACAATATGCACCGTCATGCAGTCAACATTGTTCACACTGACTAGAAGTAGCACAAAAGACCCATGCGGCAACAACAGGGCACTTTCCAATGAGACAAAACTTCAGAAAAATGTGATTGAGCAACATGAGTGATTGAATTCTTTCACTGCCGTTCGCTTCTGTTTTCTTTCTGTTATAATTGCTGGTGAGCCGACCTTCTGAAACATACATCTCATTTTTCAGGGCGGGTTGGCAGAGCAAATGCTGCCGCACTTTATTTCAGCAGCAAAGGACTATTCTCTAAAATACCAAACAATGATACATCGACCCAAGACTCAAACGCTGTTTGCGTTTCACAGACCACTTCTGAAACAGTTTTGCATACATGTAACCCCCAGCAATCTGAAGCGAAAAACAAACTATTTGCAAGCTGATATTTTAGCATTTTTTAAACCTCTCTCATATAAACACAGTGTCAGATATGACTGCAGCAATCTGAAGTTAGCGTCATCTGCTTTAAAATCCTCACAAACAGGCATGTTTGGTTTACAGCCCTAATTTCGCCAGGATCACCTCCTACCACCGACACTGAGGGTACATGCTGTTCTTACCCTCCGCGTGTGCGCGGGTGTGTTACCGGGTGCGTAAATCAGAGCAGCTGCAGCCGGAGCAGCTGCAGGGACACGTGCTTTCCGCCGATCTGTTTGTGTGCGTGTGTGTGTGAGGAGGGGGGAGCGTGGTTTGTGTATAGCTGGAGGGCTTCCCTCTTGGAAATTCTGGGATTAATGACACATTAAGCCCTCTCCAAGAGAGTGGATTGAAAAGAACGAAAGAAAGAAAAAAAAAAAAAAAAATTGAAACAGGCAGGCAGGCTGATGGCTTTTCCCACAAAGTTTAGTACTTCAAAAGTTAACTTCTAAGCGACTGCAGATGCATGGATAAAACCTATCTTGGACAACATGCAGCAGCACTTTCCTTTCCATCAGCATCTCCAACTTGTTGCCTACCTCTGTTGGATTCCCTTGTTGGCCATTAGCACTGAGTCAGCTCCATTAGGTAAGGATTTTGTACTTTTTAATTATTTGATAGCCATTTGGGGAGAGAGTTCATGTGTATTTTAAACTGAGATGATCTTGTTTGCATCTACTTTTGAATGTGGGTTAGAGTGATAGAGGGCTATTCTTAGAAAGAGTCTCCAAAATAGAATGGAAGTAAGGTTAAAATAAACAACTTCTAAGGTAATGAAGAAGGTCGCAGTGATACCCAAGCAGGCTTACAGCACACAATGTTTATTGTCCATTAGAGGACTTTCCTTTCACTTTCCTTTTTTTTCCTTTTTTTTTTTTTTTTTTTTTTTTTTTTTTTTTTTTTTTTTTTTTTTTTTTTTTTTTTTTTTTTTTTTTTTTTTTTTTTTTTTTTTTTTTTTTTTTTTTTTTTTTTTTTTTTTTTTTTTTTTTTTTTTTTTTTTTTTTAATAAAGAAATTATAAACCTGTGAAGATTCTTACTTCCTACTAGAAAGAATCAAGTGATTTAAAGAATATTCATAACATTTTCCCATAAATGGAATATATGAAATGAACCATAAAAGAAGAAATAGCTTTAAAATAAGAATCTGTTCCTCTAAGGAAAGAAGTATATACACCATATATCAGTGCAACATTATAGATTAGTTAATTACACATATAATAATACACAGCTATACAGTCTCTGGCAATAAAAAGTTCATGAGTAATTTTTCTACTACTGTACACATTAAATGTAAGGCTTGTTTCACTCTAACATAGAGTTCGAAGAGGACATAGATTTTACATATGTAACTTGTTTATACAGCTTTATTAATCTACTGCAGGAATACATTGAAAATCATGTTAGACATTATTCAACTAGTAAAAGCAGAGTTAATAAAAAAACTTGAGAAAAGCGGTAAGACCAGTGCGTAGTGCTGTGAGTGGTTACGGACACAGCTCTGGCAAATGCTGTGGAGGCACTCCCCCCCTTAATGGAAATGCCTTGCAATATTTTACAAAATTTAATTCCAGTAGAGTTTCAACTAGTCTTAAAAGTGATTGTCAGCCAGCACTCATTAGCCCTATGAAGATACAACAATTTAAAGCACTCTTCATTTGAATATCAAAGGGTCACCCAGAAAGGTTTGCAGGACTGAACACAAGGCAAATGACCTTATTGCCTTTATCTTCAAACAATGCCTTTAATTTCTGAAACCTTTTGAAGGGTTGCCAGTTTTATGGAGCGTAGCAGCTACTTACCTGATAGAACAAGCTTTCCATCAAATGGGAAATGACCTTTTAACTCCTAGTAACTAAGTAACTGTATTTTCCACTGTATTTTTGCTACCGAAGGTAATATTTATGGACATACTTATTAAACTGGGAACACAAAACAAGAATTAAGAAATAGCTTGCTGCCTCTTAGGTGATGCGGAAGGATTCATAAGACTTGTTGGTTCTTTTTTTCATAGTGTGAACTTGAAGTAAATGAAACTGCTCAAACAAGTTTACGTTCTGACAGATTGTGTTGTGACATTATAGGGATATTAACAGAGCCATATGCTGTTTACTTTTGTACTCTGAGTATAACAAACCTACTAATCCCATAAGAATTTAACTGTGAATAAGGAACGTCTGACCAAACAGCTTTTGCAGATGTCTTGTTAAGAAAGAGAAGATGAAAAAGTCCTTTAAAGACCAAGGAAGAATTTTATCATCTTCTGCAGCCTCATTTTAGGGAACGAAGTTCCCAGTGATGGAGAATATTCTCATTATTTGGGTTTTTTTCATCATTTCCTGTGACTGAGAAACATGAAAGGGTTACCAATAACGTCTGTAGCTGCTCTCTGGTAGAAGATTAAGTAAAGCATCAGGGACAAAAGCAGCTCAGTGAATCATAGATGTGGGAGGCCTGACACAACACAGAGCCTGTCAGATTTTTCTCAGATGAAATTCTGTAAATAAGTCAATCAAAAGAAAGATACAATAGATTTTTTATAGAGGTATTTTAGACAAAAGTATTTATCTTAAAATAGATAGTTGCTTGTAACATCACCATTGAGATGGAATTGCTCCCTGTCCCCTCTGGAGCCTTTTCATAATGTACAATTGAAAAAGTTTTTAATTTGGATATGGGTTTCCTGCAAAGGCGCCAGTCTTCCTTGAAGCTCACGAAATCCACTGGAGCTTCACTGCAAGGTGTTACATATATAGTAAAATCAGATACAATTAATTGTTTGCAAGTTCACTCCTGTGGATTTTCCTCAACTCTGAAACACTTAAGAAAAAATTTGAGCATATCCTGAGGTGAAGAAAGAGGAGAAGAGAGAGGATGGTGTCGGGGGAAGGCTAAGTGCCTACAGCCAGCGGGAAAAGATGGTGCATTCTCAAATGATCGGAACAGTCTAATTTGATTTAAGAAAGTAAATGAGAATACTCTAGCATGGCAAAAATTACTCAATGTCTTGCAATTTTACAAACGCTGGTCTTGCTTTCACTAGAAGAATGAAATGAAAATCAGAGTATGTAATCTGCCTTGTGTACTACCCACAAGCAACCCATGATCTGACTTGTGAGCTTCCGCTGTAAAATCTGAGTGCCATGGACTTTCCATGCTTTAAGGAAAAATCTACTGGAGCTCAGAAAACCTTTTCCCATGAGTATTTCAAAAGGAATAATTCAAACTATTCAGGAGCTTTCCCACTTGCTTCCTGTACCTACTGCAGATGACAATCCCTCCCGTTCCCTGGTCAGATCTCAAACGTGCCACCCAGGTCCCCAGCAACTCCCTGGAGCTCCAGGGCTCCTGCCACCCTCTGGGCCACCGAGCACAGGAGGGATGCAAACACCCCCAGGCAAGCCCCAGGGTATCTGGCCTGGAAACAGCTTGCAGGGATCAAGCGCTCAGGCCATGAGTGGGTTTGGTCAGGGACATTCCTGTGACTTTAGAAATTACACTGGGATTATTCTGGCTCCGTGTCTTCGCGCTGTGGAAAGCACAGCAGGCATTTATAGCACTATGCAAACAAAAAATAGCCTGCTGAATGCTTTCCTACAGAAGTAAAACCAAGGCTCCCTGCCCATGGCAAATAAGCAGTAACAACTCCCAAAGGGAGAGGAACAATCTTTACAGCATGTTTCTCTCCCGATATTATTTTTAATTATCAAAAGTTGTTTACAGGTTAATATTTTATTTCCCTTTTATTTAAGTTTCTGTCAACATCAAGTAACCCCATTGGCTTCATTGTCTGGAATTAATCCAGTTTGTATTGTTTGAACCAAGAGTGAGATCTGGTCTTATCTGATTATGTGCTGTCAAGGCGAAGCTAGTAGCAGGGGTTGTACAATGATTTCTGTTTGCTGATAACTTTTTCGTTCCTCTCCTTTTTATCTGAAAGACAACACGATTATCCTTACTGCATAACAGTTCTTTCATAAGGAAGGCAAAATCGGGCGGCTGTTACAGTCTGGGGGTCAGGGAACCCCTTTCACCTTATAATGAATGTGTTTGTAACTCTCCTGAGCAGCATCAGTATGTCACTACTGGATTTTAGGACTTTGAAATTTGGTAGGGAAATAATTTTTAGCTCACACATTTGCCTTCCAATCTTCTGATGAAAATTAATAGTTGTTTTCAAAGTTATACAGGCTTACAAAAGATGTTTGGTGTGAGAGGGCTGCCTTTCTACTGCATCTCTCAGGGCTTTGCTTATTTCCCATTGACCTGCCAAATATGTTTGCTGTTTAAACTCCTTAACAGCTATTTATTACTCTATGCTGTACTAAAATTGAGGATCATTTTATTAGACGCTGTTCATAACAGTATAGCACATTCATGGCCAAAATGTTTGCTTTAATGGTCCAGTTCCTCACAGTTATTTTGTCTCCAAATGCCAAATCCAGAGAAGTATTGTATACATCTAACTTCCTTTGCAATCGATAGGAGCTGCAAGTAGTCAAGACAAATCAGTGTTTGTTCCTAAATTGACAAGACAAATTGCTGTGGAGAGGAAGCATCATCATTCTGTTTTACAGATGGGATGGAGGTGTGAAGTGGCTCAAGGTCATGAAGAAAATCCTTTGGTGGAGCTGAGATCTGTACCGAGGCCTCATGAGTCACAACTTAGCCCCGTTAACTGCAGCACAACTCATAACTGAAAGCCAATATAGTAAATAGGAGTGTAATAAAAATGCTAAACCTTTCTCCATCTTCCTTGTAAACTCTGAAGTCAAATGGCTACACACACAAACTCAAGGGGACACAAAGTATTGTTGGTGGGTTTTAGGCTACTTAACATATTTTAGATGACCAATACCAGGAATTTCCCCAAATCCCCTTTGATTTTAATCAGGAAAGGATCCATTCACTTCCAAAATGCTACACCTATGTTATCATACAAATATAGTTGAAGAAAAGAAGGAAGAGTCATTCCTGCACTAACTTCATTAGAGACAGAATTTCTTTCCTGGTTTTTTCCTACTTATTCCTAGGCCACTTCTGTAGCCTAATAAAATAATTCTGGTTTTGGAAAAGACTCTTTCATTCCAAAGTATTTCCTCCAATTTTTTTTTGTGACCTAGGCTTGCTGCTTCAAAAGGCTGAGAATATTGTGAGAAGTACCATTTTGTTTATTTTTAACTGGGTTTGTGCTGTATCCCTTTGAACAGTTTGCTGGGAAATGTTCTCAAGGCAGCCAGGTTACTTATTTGCCTGATTCTGTCTACCAGTTTGTTTCCTTGGATATTTGTGGGTTTGTTCTGAGTTTTTGGCTACTTTCTTCCCAGATGAAGTGTCCATCTTGTCACTTCACAGGTGGAAATTTAGTGTGGGACATAGCTGATGCCCAAGCCACTACAAAAATGGATATTGTCTTTAACACCTGGTGGGCAGCGTACATTGCTTCTTTAACGATTTTTAAGTTTTCTTCGAAGTGGTGTATTTTTACCTTCAGTTACAAACCTTTATTACTTTCATTGTGGCAGCTACACTATGTGTTTTGCCCTAAGTAGAAAATATTTATGGTGAAATCTGAAAAAAGTGCATTAGT